TGAAGCACAGTGGACCAACACCAGCAGATGACATGGCTCCCCAAATCAACACAGACTGTGGAAACTTCACACTGGACTTCAAGCATCTTGCAGTGTGTGCCCCTCCATTCTTCCTCCAGACTCTGGGTCCTTGGTTTCCAAATGAGATGCAAAAGTTGCTCTCATCAGAAAAGAGGACTTTGGACCATGAAGCAACAGACCAGGTCTGTTTTTCTTTAGCCCAGGTAAGATGCTTCTGACGTTGTTTGTTGTTCAGGAGCGGCTTGACAAAAGGAATATGACATTTGAAGCCCATGTCCAGGATCCGTCTGTGTGTGGTGGCTCTTGATGCACTGACTCCAGCCTCCGTCCATTCCTTGTGAAAGTCCCCAACACTTTTGAATGGCCTTTTCCTGACAATCCTCTCCAGGCTGCGGTCATCCCTGCTGCTTGTGCACCTTTTTCTTCCACACTTTTCCCTTCCACATAACTTTCTATTAATGTGCTTTGATACAGCACTTTGGGAACATCCAACTTCTTTTGCAATTACCTTTTGAGGCTTTCCCTCCTTATGGAGGGTGTCAATGATGGTTTTCTGTACAACTGTCGGGTCAGCAGTCTTTTCCATGATTGTGATTCCAACTGAACCAGACTGAGAGACCATTTAAAGGCTCAGGAACCCTTTGCAGGTGTTTTCTAATCTCTGCATCTAGCCATTGGTACAATAAGTCCCATGTTGTGTAATACTGTTTCCCCTTTAACTTTGAGTTCCATCATTAACCTATCTAATTTGGCACATTCTAATATTTCTTTATTACCTTTTCGTCTGTAGGCATACTTCCGTTTTTCCAATTTTGTGCATATGTAATTCTGGCTGCTATTATTACATGTAACATTAAGTATATTTTTTTAAAAAAAAAATGTATTTCCCCGGTAGTATGTCTAATAAAAATAGTTCTTGTTTTAGGTCTACTTGTTGTGCTGTCATCTCTTCTAGCCATCTTTTTATCTTTAACCAATATTTTTTTGCAAATGTAAAGGCCCACCACATATGATAGTAGTATCCCTGTACCTGTTTATATTTCCAGTACTCTGGTGGCAAATTTGGGAACATTTTTGCCATTCTTGCTGGTGACAGGTGCCATCTATAAAACATTTTGTACAGATTTTCCTTATATGCTGTTGACATTGTTAATTTGTAATTTCTTTCCCACAATTTTTGCCAATTATCTAATTCTATAGTGTACCCAAAAATTTTTGCCCATATTATCATGGTTTCCTTTATGCATTATTCTTCCATTTTAAAATTCAATAGGTAATTATAAAGTTTTGTTATTAATTTTTTGTCTATCCCTAACAGTATCTTATACAGTTCTTTTTTTTTGTAAAAAATTTTTTTTTAAAGACAAACACTAACAAACACAAACATAAAACATCAACGTAAAACCACCATCTTCCAAGATACAGCATGTCGGTTGGTACACTTCTTTCATGCAATGTCACAATATCAACAGTCTTCACCTTCCAAAAATACCTTCATATTATATAAGTCAACTATACGCATTATATTATATTATATTGTATCATTATAAGACTAAACTATAAATTTACATAGTTCTTATCAAGCAAATCGGAGTTTTAATAAATCTGGGAACATACAATTCATTTCATTATGTTCAATTATATAATACCGTGTTTCTCATATAATAAGGTCGGGTCTTATTTTTTTTTGAGCCCTGAAAAAATGGCTAGGCCGTCTTTTCGGGTGTGACTTAATTCCCCCCCCTTGCATCTTCTGGCGGGCGGTGACAGCTTGGATGTTGACCTCGGCGTTGGTGGGGCACTTCGTATCGGGGTCAATGCAGGCAGCACCATATCCAGGTGTGCAACAAAAGTACTTCCTAACAGCAAGCCCCTCCACCATTCCCCCCATTTCGCATGTTTTAATATAGGCCTTAATTTGGGGGTAGGGGCTTAATTTCATTTCATGCCTATAAAACATTCTGGGACTTCCTATTGGGGGAGGCCATATTGTTGGAGAAACAGGGTATCATTACATCATACTATTTTACATATTATACTATTCCTTTTTATAACATAGTTTACTTCGCTATTTTCTTATCTAACCATTGATAAAATAAATCCCAAATTTTATAATATTCTTTATCTTCTTGCTCTCTAATCGTTAATGTCAATTGACTCATTTCTGCACATTCCACCATTTTCTTAATCACCTCTTCCTCTATTGGAATTTTTTCACTTTTCCAATTTCTAGCAAATGCAATTCTAGCCGCTGTTAACACATTTATAATAAAATACATCAGTTCTCTACTGTATCCTTCAGGCAAGATACCAAATAAAAATATCTCTGGTTTCAAGTCAATATGTTGTTTTGTCATTTTTTCAAGCCATGTATGAATTTTAGTCCAGTATCTCTTAGCTTCCACACATGTCCACCACATATGATAATATGATCCAGGTATCTGATGACACTTCCAACATCTCTCTGATTTATTCTTAGAGATCCTTGCTATTCATGCTGGGGGTAAGTGCCACCTGTAAAACATCTTATACAAGTTCTCTTTATATGCTACCAGCATTGCCAATTTATAATTTCGCGACCATAACTTTTGCCATTTATCTAGATATAGTCCATATCCAAAATTCCTCCCCCAGGCAATCACTGTTTTTTTTTAATTTTTAAATATTTTTATTAGTGAAACAAAAGAAAAAACATTTCAAAACAGTGAACATGGTGCATACATCCCGACACACCTGCTTATCTTACATCATCAAATAATACAAAATAACAAAAAGTACAAATTTACATATCTACATAAATATTAATCATCATTAATACATTTATTCCTTTCTTTTTTTTAACCAGTGGTAAAACTTCTCCCAGGTTTTGTAATAGTCAGATTCAGTCTTGTCTTTTAATTCTTGAGTTACTCTATCCATTTCAGCGCACGTCCAAATTTTTCTAATTATTTCCATCTCATCTGGCATATCATTACCTTTCCATCTTTAGGCAAGGGCTAGCCTCGCAGCGGTGGTAACATGGACTATTAAATATATTGACTCTTTATTGTATTTTCTCACAATGATTCCCAGTAGAAAAATTTCAGGTCTAAATTCTATTTTAATTTTACACATCTCTTATAACCAATTTCTAATTTTCAACCAATATGTTTGCGCTTTTTTGCATTTCCACCATACGTGATAATATGTTCCAATTTCTTTATTGCATTTCCAACATTTAGAGGATAGTTTCAGATACATTCTTGCCAATTTTGATGGTGGGATATGCCATAGATAAAACATTTTGTGTAAGTTTTCTTTATAAGATGCCGCCAGAGTAATTTTTCTATTTCTATCCCATAAGATTTGCCAATCATCCAAATTTATACTATATCCAAAATCTTTCATCCAGGCCAACATCATTTCTTTTACCTTTTCCTCTTCCAATTTACATTCTAATAATACTTTATAAATTTTTTAATCAGTTTCTCATCTGTTCCTAAAAGTATTTTATCTAATTCTGTTTTCCGTCTACTAATACCCCATTCTTTCATATCTTTACTATACCTCGATTGTAATTGCAAATAGGTCCACCATTCTATCTCAAATCCCAAATCTTTCAACTCCTGTCTCATTTTTAACTCTCCCTTCTCATATAGTATGTCCTCATATGTGATGACCTGTCCTCGACGTAATAAATGTGGGCACATTAACACTTCTAATGTAAATAGCCAAGTTGGTATTTCAACATAAATTTGTCATTTAGTTTTATTCCATATATTTAGTAGGGTCTGCCAAATTTTATGCCTTTGAAAATAACCATGAATTTGTTGTTTGTCTTGCCACAAAAAGGCATACCACCCTGCCTGTAGATCAGTGGTTCCCAAACTTTTTCAGTCCACCGCCCCCTTAGTGCTACAAACTCATCCTTGGTGCTCCCCACCCAGGGGTGGAATTCAAATTTCTGTGAGCATGGCCTAATTTGAGGGTGTGGCTTGCTGGACACATGACTGTCTGGCGTGGCTTGCAGGCTTGGCATGGCTTGCTGGTCACATGACCGAGTAGGTGTGGTTTGGTGGTCATGTGACTGGGTAGGTGTGGCCAGGTGACTGGCAAACAAGTGGTCCTCACTTAATGGCCGGTTGTTTAGCAAGTGTTCTAATTTATGACTGGCCTCCCCAGAGATACTTGACCTGTTTTTGGAGTTTTGACAGCCATGCACACACATACGCACACACTTCCTTCTAACCCTGCTGGAGCAGGTCATTGGACTAGAATCAGCAAAGCATCTCTGATTAGATTCTAGTAGTGAATAGAATCTAATCAGAGATGCTTTGCCGATTCTTGTTGATTTGTTTTATTTGTATTTCTTTATTTTATGTTGCTGAATTGCATTGACATGTGTGTCCCTTCTTGTGCACAGCCCAGAAGCTTTTGTGATTCTTTGCACCAAAAATTACCGACCTCTGGCTTTGCTCTACTTTTCAAACATGCCGCCACTGCCACGTTCTAGGTGCCAGCCCTGCAGGTCCACCCCCATTGAGCCCACTGCACTGGAGGGACCTGCCCAAGCAAGTCAATGGGGTGAGCCTGAGAGAGGGAAAGAGAGAGAGAGAGAGAGAGAGAGAGAGAGAAGGAAGAAAAGAAAGAGAAAAGGGAAAGAAAGAAAAAGGGACAAAGAAAGAGGGGGGATGGAAGGGACAGAAAGAAAAAGAAATAAAGGAGGAGGGAGGGAGAGAGGAGAAAGATAATGAGATATCTATTCTAGTCCAATCACCTGCTCCAGCAGGGTTAGAAGGGAGTGTGTGTGTGCTCTCCTTGTAATTTACCAGTACATTTTGGTTTTGCCTTCTTCAGAATTGGCACTGCAATACATCGGGGAAAAGTCATTTTTAGGGTGGAGGTCTGGTCCAATGGAACCTGTTTAAAGCCTCAACAAAATGTGAGAGCTTGAAATGTTTCCCCTTTTGCATTTAAGCATTCAAGAAGGGACAGGGAAGAGCTTTGCGCAGTGGCAGTATCGTAGCCAATGAGGTTTATCCGAGGCGCGATTATTGCTAATTGTTGCAAGATGCTAGAACTAGAGGAGGTTTTGGCCTGCCTAATTGGGAGTTGTACTATCAAGCTGCAAATTTGATGTGGGTTAAGGAATGGATAACATTAAGAAAGACTAGATTATTGACACTAGAAGGTCATGATTTGTTGTTGGGTTGGCATGCTTTTTTATGGTATAAGGGAACCAAAACACAGGGTTACTTTCGAAGACATTATATACGGGAGTCTTTGTGGTTAAACTGGGAGAAGATAAAAAAACAATGTTATTTGAAAATTCCAGTTTGGTTATCGACTATAGAAGCATTTTCTTATCCTATAATCTATAAGAAGGAACAAACAGTTAGATATGGGGAATTATTAGATGAAAAGGGTGAACTTAAATCGATACAAAATCTAGAGGAACAAGGTATAAAGATGAATTGGTTTTCATATGTGCAAATACACTCAAGGTATGATGAAGATTCTAAAACAGAGGGATTCTATGATAAACAGACTGATTTAGATAAGATTTTGACAGGTACTGATGAAAAGGTGATTAAAAAACTATATGGTTATTTATTGGGAATTAAGCTAGAGGAAGAACAAGTTAAAGAAACTATGATTGCTTGGGGGAGGAATTTTGGATATGGGATTGATTTAGAGAAATGGCAGAAACTATGGTCGCAAAATTATAAAATGACAATGTCCACAGCTTATAAAGAAAATCTGTATAAGATGTTTTACAGGTGGCATTTTCCCCCAACAAGGATAGCAAGAATGTTCAAGAATAAATCTGAAAAATGCTGGAAATGTCATCAGATACCTGGCTCATACTACCATATGTGGTGGACTTGTGAGGATGCTAGAAAATACTGGACTAAAATCCGCATGTGGTTGGAAAAAATGACAAAGAAACACATAGATTTGAAACCGGAGTTTTTTTTATTGGGAATCTTACCAGATGTATACAGTAAAGACTTGAAATATCTGATTGTAAATGTATTAACTGCGGCTAGGATTGTATTTGCTAAAAATTGGAAAAATGAGAAAATTCCATTGCAGGAAGAAATTATTAAGAAAATATTGGAATGTGCTGAGATGAGCAGATTGACATTTGAAATTAGAGAGCAAGAAGATAAACCATTTTATAAAATTTGGGACCTTTTCTATCAATGGTTGGACGATAAAATACAATAATAGAATATTTAGAATGTTAGATAATAAGAAATATCTTTGTTTTTTCTTTTTCTTTTGCTACTTGACATCACATCTATAAAGTGTTTTTTAGGATAGATTTGGTATGATTATATGATTTGTTGTAGAATAAATTACCTAAATTATAGTTATCTCATAAAGTATGAATGAATAAAAGTATAGTCAAATGATTTTTTTAATAATGATATGAGGACATATAAGTTTGGATTGATAATAAGAGTTATTATGTAATATAACCGTAATTGAGACTACGAAATGAATGCACAAAACTGATGAACCAACCGACACACTGTTTGTATATAAGTACGGAAGAGAGCTGATGCTTTTATGTTTTGTTTGTTTTGTTTGTTTTTAAAAAAAACCAATAAAATTGTTTTCAAAAAAAAAAGAAGGGACAGGAAAGGAGAAAGGGAAAGAGGAAAGACAAAGAAAAAGGAAAGATGGGAAGGGAGCTAGGAAGGAAAAAGAAAGAAGGAGAGGAAGGAAGAAGAATGAAGAGGGAAAGAAAAAGAGGAAGGAAGTCCTGCCTTAGCACTTGGCCACCAGCAGACGGCAAGGCTCCTCTGGAGGACAAGGGTTTGGCGCTCCCTCTGGTGTTGCTGTCTTCCGCTGGAGACAATGGATCGCCCCAACCCCACCCAGGTCACCACAGGTGCCCCCAAGATGAGTGATGCTGAGCTGGCCATGCCCCCCAGCCACCACCCCCGTCAAACACAACCCTGATAGGACCCTCAATGAAATTGAGTTTGACACCTCTGCAACAGAAGCTGACAGGCCAAGGAAAGATCAAGGCTTTCCAACATACTTTAGCATTAGATGAGGAATATTTTTCATGTTAAACAGGAAAACACGTTTATATATTAGATTAGATTAGCTTTATTGATTAGCCTATAGGCCATATCAAAATACAAGGTTCAGACACATATTACCAAGAAAATCCTATAAAAACAATTTAAAATAATAGGGTAAAATACAATAATTGTGGCATAAAATACAATAATTTAATACATAAAGATGTAAAATAGAACAAAATAACATAAAATTATATTTCTGTATCACCCCCACAATCTACCCCAATCAGGCCCATATATGCTGATCTCAGTCAGACCATTTTAGTCAGAAACAGTGCTGTATTAAATGTCATTTTCAAATTCTGGCCACACAAGGGTATGTTGTTTTAATATGGGCCTCCCACTGGGCCGTACGTTTAATGCATGTATCAAGGTACTTATTTCTCACCCCCTTTTACAGACAGCAATTGAATAATACACTGCTCAAAAAAATAAAGGGAACACTTAAACAACACAATGTAACTCCAAGTCAATCACTCTTCTATGAAATCAAACTGTCCACTTAGGTAGCAACACTGATTAACAATCAATTTCACATGCTGTTGTGCAAATGGAATAGACAACAGGTGGAAAGCAGAGGCAGTTAGCAAGACATCTCCAATAAAGGAGTGCTTCTGCAGGTGGTGACCACAGACCACTTCTCAGCTTTCTGGCTGATGGTTTGGTCACTTTTGAATGCTGGCAGTGCTTTCACTCTAGTGGTAGCATGAGACGGAGTCTACAACCCACACAAGTGGCTCAGGTAGTGCAGCTCATCCAGGATGGCACATCAATGCGAGATGTGGCAAGAAGGTTTGCCGTGTCTGTCAGCGTAGTGTCCAGAGCATGGAGGAGCTACAAGGAGACAGGCCAGTACATCAGGAAATGTGGAGGAGGCTGTAGGAGGGCAACAATCCAGCATCAGGACCACTACCTCCGCCTTTGTGCAAGGAGGGACAGGAGGAGCACTGCCAGAGCCCTGCAAAATGACCTCCAGTGGGCCACAAATGTGCATGTGGTTGCTTAAACGGTCAGCAACAGACTCCATGAGGGTGGTATGAGGGCCCAACGTCCACAGGTGGGGGTTGTGCTTACAGCCCAACACCGTGCAGGACCTTTGGCATTTGCCAGAGAACACCAAGATTGGCAAATTCGCCACTGGCACCCTGTGCTCTTCACAGATGAAAGTAGGTTCACACCAAGCACATGTGACAGACGTGACAGGGTCTGGAGACACCGTGGAGAACGTTCTGCTGCCTGCAACATCCTCCAGCATGACCAGTTTGGCAGTGGGTCAGTAATGGAGTGGGGTGGCATTTCTTTAGGGGGCCGCACAGCCCTCCATATGCTCGCCAGAGGTAGCCTGACTGCCATTAGGTACCGAGATGAGATCCTCAGACCCCTTGTGAGACCATATGCTGGTGCGGTTGGCCCTGGGTTCCTCCTAATGCAAGACAATGCTAGACCTCATGTGGCTAGAGTGTGTCAGCAGTTCCTGCAAGACGAAGGCATTGATGCTATGGACTGGCCCGCCTGTTCCCCAGACCTGAATCCAATTGAGCACATCTGGGACATTATGTCTCGCTCCATCCACCAATGTCACGTTGGACCACAGACTGTCCAGGAGTTGGGGGATGCTTTAGTCCAGGTGTGGGAGGAGATCCCTCAGGAGACCATCTGCCACCTCATCAGGAGCATGCCCAGGCGTTGTAGGGAGGTCATACAGGCACGTGGAGGCCCCACACACGACTGAGCCGCATTTCGACTTGTTTTAAGGACATTACATCAAAGTTGGATCAGCCTGTAGTGTTTTTTTCCACTTTAATTTTGAGTGTAACTCCAAATCCAGACCTCCATGAGTTGCTACATTTGATTTCCACTGATAATTTTTGTGTGATTTTGTTGTCAGCACATTCAGCTATGTAATGAACAAAGTATTTAATAAGAATATTTCATTCATTCAGATCTAGGATGTCTTATTTTTGTGTTTCCTTTATTTTTTTGAGCAGTGTATATGAGTCAGGTCTTCTACCTCTTCAGCTCCACAAATGTACATTCATTATATGGGATAGACTGGAATCTCCCAAATCTAACCATTGTATCAAGCTGTTCAAATCTTGCTCAGGTAAATGTCACCCTGAGATGTTTTGGCAAATGTGACTTTAAATAGTTGTCCATTTGAAAGGTGCATTTATATTTGCTCAGCCATTTCAGGCTACCAGCCTTACTAAGTGTGGCTATGTCATTTTGAGCTTCTACATCCATGATTCTTTGGACAACTCTTTTTTTTGTTGCTGTTGTTCTCCTGTTACACAGGGGGCAGGGAGGCCACAGCCCTTTATGTAATTTGTCAATTTAGTAATCCAGAGGGTTTGTGATTGCAATTTTATCTGCTCTAGTAGACATAACTTAGGGAGTATATCAGTCTCCATTAATTTTGAGCCAGTAGTTGTAAGCTCTGGTTTTAGACAGTGTGTGAATTGTGTAGGTTTCCAGTTCCGTTCTGACTGCTGCAGCAGGTATCTTAGGGTCCACACCTAAAATACATATCAGGTGCTGAGACTGTTTTTGTTCTACAGCTGTAATGGGGTGTAAACCCCACACCTCAGCTCCATATAGGAGCATGGGGATTACCTTAGCTTTATATACTTTATATACTATATATTCTGTACTAGGGAGCCTGGGTAACTGTGATTCTTTAAGTAATAGATTCAAGCAAGCTTTTGCTCCAAGTATACTCCATTGGTGGTGGCAAGCCCAAGATCCAGTCTTGGAAAAATATACAAAGGTGCTAACCTGTTAAATTGGTTCCCCATCTAGTTGTCATCCATGTCTCTGGTTATGTTTGCCAAACACCATAATTTTTTATTTTGATTTGCTAATAGAGAGTTATCCTGGCAGTAGTAACTAAATCTCCTTAGTAGCCTACACAATCCGACTTGTGAGTACAATAATAGGATCATGTCATCAGCATAGAGCAAGGTGTTACAATTTCTATTTAGGATTGTTGGCATGTGCATCATAGGGTCTTTCATTAATCCTGGC